ATTTTTTCTACGATTAATTTAATAATTTGTTCTGCAATTTTTTTTACTATACCGGGTGCGTCTCAAAAGTGGCTTACCCATATAACTTTTTTATTTTTTTCAGATAAAAAGGCGAAATTTGGTATGTTAGTATATGACATAATTGTTTTCGGCTACTTCCTGTTTCACCGGAAATGACTACAATTTTTGATTTTTAAATGGCACCCTCGGTATTTTCTTACTTTATTCGAGAGAAAATAACACTCTGAATAGAATGACATATCATATGTCAACTTTTGACATTTTCGAATAAGGTTTATTTGAAATTGCAACATGCGGTTCATAACGACAATTTGACTCGAAATACCAAGTGTGTGGTATCAAATTATTCGTAAAAAATGCTTTTTCCAAATATGCTAATGAGCCACCCTCGTTCCAAAATTGAGATATAAAAAATACGATTTGGGCATCTTTTAACCGGACAGGACAAAACGTTAAAAACATAAACGATCAAATCTATTTTCCCAAGGCTCCTTGACTAAAAATTAGTGTTTTTAACACAACCTAAATAACAACACTCTAAATTGACACTTAAAATACCATTTTGTTTTAAGCCAAAATGTCAAAGGTTGACATATGATATTATGTCATTCTATTCAGAGTGACATTTTCTATCAAATAAAGTTAAAAAATACCGAGGGTGCCATTTAAAAATCAGAAGTTGTAGGCATTTCCGGTGAAACAGGAAGTGGCCGAAAACAATTGAATGCGTCAGTCAAACCCAATTTATGTCATATACTAACACATCAAATCTCGTTTTTTTTTTTATCTGAAAAAATAAAAAAGTTATAGGGGGTGAGCCACTTTTGAGACGCACCCGGTATAATATTTCTCTAAAGCAAATTTCTCTCCTACAGTGTTATCAGGTTTAACATGTGTAACCGTTTCTACTATTAGGCTTTACTAATCTTAATAAAAATAATATAGCAAATTGTGTTTTTTAAATAAATCCAAATTTATACTCAAAATACAAATTTTGAAAGATCTCACGTGAGATTATGGGAGGGGAAAGGGGCGATCGAAACAAATCTCACGACGGGGGGTCAAAAAATCTTCAAAAACGCCTCATAATTAATGGAGCTTGGGGAAAATAATTTGGAGCATGATGATTAATGTCAAACAAATTAACTAATTCAGTGGTAAGTGCATGGTGGTAAGCATGTGGTAAGTAAAATATGACTTATCAAGTTACAATTATTGGTAGTTGGAGATATGTTATGAGACATCTGTATTGGAATATCTTGTAAGATTCAGTTTCAATAAATTACTTCCAAATTGTTTTTTTCTGCTTACCAGTGGCGGCTCGTGGGTAAAAAATTAGGTGAAGAGTTAATTTTTTTAGAGTTAATTTTTTTGGCAAATTCACCATTTTGTCAAAAATTTTTTTGTTATTTATACACATACACTAATACTTGGCTAATACCCTCTAATACCTATAATATTTTCGTTTTAGTTTGGGCTAAAACGCATTAAGTAAAAAGAGATACAACCAGTTTTCGATAAACACATTATTTTGCATTCCAGTGAAAATAAAATTAAATTTAAATTAAATATAATAAACATTATATACAGTGCCCACCATAAAGTTGGATCCATATGGACGTTTTATTTTATATTAGAGTTTTAAAAAACCTTTTTGTGGCAATCACTTCGCCTGCTTTGAAAAAAACTTAAAATGCGCCAAGCCAAAGTTGACAGCTAACATCAGGGAGCTGTCAAATACAAAATATTTAAAAGAAATTTTTAAAAATTGTTTAAATTATTATTATTTTAAAAAAAGTGACTAACAAAATTATGTTTCAACTTTGACTTGGCGCATTTTAAGTTGTTTTTAAAGCAGAATTGATAGCCACAAAATTTTTTTTAAACTCTAATACCAAAAAAAACCGTCCATATGGATCCAACTTTATGGTGAACACTGTAATTATTGAAGGGCTTCCCCGAAAAACGTTGTAACCGACATTTTTTTCAAAATAGAGATTTCAGTGAAATAAGGTTGCAATTTTCATAGGTATAGCGTTTATTCCTCGGTTTTTTCACTGAAATTTCGATATTGAAAAAATTGTTGGTTACAACTGAGGAGCCATTCAATTATTATTCAATTATTACATTAATTATTATTACATTCATGTTTACTAAGCAATATTAACCAAAATAAATTTGACTTATTTATATTACTAACCTTACTAATTTTTGTAAATCAACTCAATTTTTCTGTTCTTTATTGATGCAAACGAACATTTTCATTAGAATTAAGCTTATAGAGTCTAACGTTTTTTTTCTAAAGCATCGGCTACTGTATTTTGATTTTTTTAAATTTCTTAGCATTAACTGACATTTTAAATGTTCTGCAGAATCGCCGTGTTTATGAAAAGATCTTGTTATATTTACGAAATCAGTGAACCCTTCTTTATTCCAAATGTCATGTTTATTAGAAAATAGTAAACACGACCAACAAAATAATTTTTGTAAAACAATACTACTACATAGCCAATTAAAATAGAAAACCAGGAAGACTTAAATTTAATATGATAAGATTTGTCACTTTTTCTTATTTCTTTTTTGCAATTTATGGTTAAAGTTTCAGTTGGTCCCCCTTGAGATAAAACATCCTTCTTTCTCTTATCTTCATCTGTCCAACGTCTGAAGGGAGTTTCCAATAAATTGCACATCAAGTCATTAATTGGGTTCATTTTTTAACACATACACACACACAAAACAATTTTAAAACATAACAACAAAACAAACAGCAAAAATCGGCAAAAATTAACAAGTTAAATCAACAAAAGCCATTAACAAACAACAATAAATAACAACAACAACTTAACAGTCTTTACACGGTTAATTACTCGCCGAAGTAGCCGAATATTAGCATAAATGCATAAACCATGCGCCGCCGCGCCGCGCCGTCACGCATTTCCTGAACAAAAGGAAGACGAAGAGAACTGGCCAAAACCAAAAACTCATTCACATCGGTCGCCGATAATAAACTTCGGGGCGGGGGGATTTACAGCCCTCCGCTGCTAGGCTGACGTCACGTTACCATGGAAACCGTGCAGTCGCTTGACTCAGAAATAGAAACATTTTCACTTGCACTTGAAATAAAGATCGAAGTCATTTTATATATCGGTCGTCATTTCAAAGCCAACTGGACGCCATTTTTTTCGACCTTACAATACTTTTCAGTAGATATCAATATAGGTAGAATAATAGTTAGTATATTATACCGGGTGCGTCTCAAAAAGTGGCTCACCCCTATAACTTTTTATTTTTTCAGTTAAAAAGAAACGAGATTTGGTATTTGGTACCTATGTTAGTTTATGACATAAATTAGGATTGATTGTATTCAATTGTTTTGACTTCGGGACCACAGGAAATGGCTACAACTTTTGATTTTTAAATGGCGCCCTCGGTATTTTTTCACTTTGTTTGACAGAAAATAACACTCTGAATAAAATGACATCATTTGTCAACTTTTGAAATTTTCGCATATGGCTTATTTGAAATTATAACATGCGGTTCATAACGAAAATTTGACTCGAAATACCAAGTCTGTCTTACTAAATTACACGTAATAAAATTCTTTTTTCAAATAGGCTAATGAGCCACCCTCGTTCCATTTGAAAAAATTGAGGTATGATTAAAAATAGGGGGGATTTGGGCATCTTTTAACCGGCCAGGATAAGACACGAAAAACATTAGACGATTAATCTATTTTTCCAAGGCTCCTTTGATTAAAAATTAGTATTTTTAACAGTCTAGAATGAAATTTAAAATAAGATTTTTTATTAAGCGAGAATGTCAAAAGTTGACATATAATATGTCATTCTATTCAGAATGTCATTTTCTTCAAAAGTTGTAGTAATTTCCGGTGTTTTTTATATAAAAATAAAAAAGTTATAGGGGTGAGCCACTTTGAGACGCATCCAGTATACAGAGATTTAAAGAAAGCATCCATTTTACACAGAGGTTTGATTTTTAATATACAGTGGTGTTTAATAATTACTGTCAAAGGATTAACTAAAACCTCGACACCATAGACTTAAAATAAAATAGTAGCATTTCTCGTAAGTCGTCAGGGAACGACCGTTACGACGGAGACAACCTATCTATCGCTCGTGTCGCAGTCGTTAGAGCCTAAAACAATAACAAGACATTGTGCGCGTTCAGTGACGGTCAGCGGCTGAGTAAGCGATTTCCCTAAACGGTCTCTTTTTACATGCAAAAACAGTCAGCCGCTGAGCAAAATTCTCAGCGGTCGGTCAGCCGCTGTGTTCCCTGAACGCGCACATTGTCTGAGCGCATTTTCCAGCTATTTATGAGATGCTCAGTCTATATTTTATTTTAAGTCTATGCTTGACGCAGTAATGGTAACTTACTTCAGAAGTTTGTCAATTTTGAATTTCACATTTGTGGCTTCGAATTTGTGTAACAAAGAATGCTACAGTATTCTCAAAAAATGATAAAAACTATTATAATATTGGTACCCCGCCAAAATACCAAAAATCTGAAGGTAGATAATGCGACACATTAAAAATTTTAAAATCAGTAATTTCAACATTACAATACAGTGTGTCCCAGAAATAAGTAGATATTTTAAGGGGTGGCAGATGATCTCGATAAAAGAAATATATTTTTTTCTTTGCCGTTTTTCAAATAAGTCCAAAAAACCAATTTATTTTAATTTCCAAAAAAATGATTTTTTGCTTAAATTTTGAGAACCACAGGATCATTTCTGGGGTTTCTTGTAAATTTAATCTACTACCTATGTTGCCACGTTATCAAGAAATTACATGTTTTAACTAAAAAGTACAAGAATTTCCAAATATTTTTCAAAAAATTCCAAATTTTCAAAATTCTTTTTTCACGAAAAAAACCTCATAGGCGTGTGTTAACCTTATCTGTGATTGTAAATAAACATATGAAGTAGTACAAATAGGCAAACAATAAAACAAAGCACATTGAGAACAGCATTTATTTCCCAGTTTACAACATCCTACAAAAACAAGTATGAAAAAAATACAGTAAAAATAAATAGTCCATTCAAAATCCATGAGATTATAAGTTCGTGCGACGAAGTCGCCCATTTTATAATAGTTAATCACAATATGACTAGCAAACCCGAAAAACCTACAATTTATAAAAGAAATAAATTTATCACTCATCGCGAACACTATATTCTCCTCCGATGGAAATAAACTGTTCCATTTTTTTTAATTTTTACGGATTTTTTTGTATTTTTCTTTTTGTTTTTTTCTCGTCCCTGTTTGTAAATTGGAAAGATTAAAGTTAGATGTTTCAATCTTGTTTTTTTGCAACGGCATTGAACCTTAAAGTGTTGCATTTTATTAAAATAATATATAAGTTATGAAAACGCAGCAAGACATAAGGTCTTAAGACATTTCATTAGCGAATTTAACAAGCGCTGCTTTCAGTCGGGTTTCATTTATACAAATCATCATTCTTATAAAAAACTTTATAGAATTATAAAAAAGTATCAAAATGTTTTGTTTCAATAGACCGTCCTGAAAGCAGGGGCGTACTGGGCAAAATAATACACAACTTTTACTTAAGCTGAAGATAAGGTTTAATCATATAAATCGCCCAATGAAATGCCTTTTGTCTGCTAGTAATTAAACACGCCTTGTTAAAAATAAAAAGTGATGTTGAGACTGGCGTTTAAGCCGTGCTCTCATTAGTTGTGTTCTGCACTGGCTGACTGTCTTCGGTCTTGACAGGTGCAGTTGCTTCTTGGGCCTGAAACAAATGATTTCATATCAATAAGTATCATACCATCGAAGTCTGTCCAACGAGTCGGAGAAGATTTCGACAGAAGACATCTCAAAAATGTCAGAAATTGAATGTACGAATAATTAAAATGACAGACAACTGTCACTGTCAAATTTCCTCTCGTTGTACAGTATAATTAAATTTATTTAGAGCTGTCGGTAACAGCGATCAAAATACGTCGTAGATGTATTTTGATTGCGTTGGTTAGGCGTATTTTGATTGCGTTGCTTAGTCTCTGGTGCAAGTTTTTTTTTTGTTTATAGATTGCACGCGAAATACTCGATCGATTTTGTAGAACTGTTATACATTATTATAATTTGTACGTTTTTGAAATTTAGGTTAAATTATGCTATTACTTAAGAACTTATTCTCGAAAGTTACAAGTTTATAATAAAAGATAAGAAAATATCCTACGATTTAAATTTGGTGGAAACTGTGGGTTGGAATTGGAGAGTTGCACGGTACGGCTAAACGCAAGTATAGCACGCCATTTAAAAAAGTTCTAATTATGGCCTATAATATTTTGATTTTCCTTTAAAATGATTTTCTCACTCCATTTTAATTATAAATAATATTATTTTATATATTATTTATATTTTATATTATAATATTTTTTTTTCTCATCTACAGTATGTCCCCGGATGGTCTTTACAAGAGGAAAAAAACCTTTTTTATTATTGACATTTTGAGAAAAATGCATTCTTCATAAAAATTGTTGCTTGTTCTGAAATGGTTATTCCCGTTCATACTTTTCGAAATTTCCATACAGTTTTAGAGAAAAATAAGAAATACATGAAAGTATGGTTCAATTTCATCTAAGTCTTAAAAATCAAAAAGCGTTTCTATGGTAATATAATTTCGATTTCATTCTTTGATAGATGGTTATTATCAATTTTGATTAACGTCATATTCTTTGCTGTTGTTAAAGTATCACATTTTCCGACAACTATTAGCACCCTTTCTGTAGCATTAAACTAAATAAATGTTGTGCTTCTTTTAACATTTTAAAACAGTAAAAAATATGACGTTAATTAGAATGATATCAATACAAACTTAATAATTAGAATTATATCAAATATAATACAAACTTAAAATGTCTGATAAAATAACCCTTTTTCAGCAGGACAAGCTGAAAAGAAACGCCTATTTTCATCAATCTATTTAGCACAAATTTGGATACATTCAAACAAATTGAAGATTGTGGGAATGTGGACATTATTTTATGCAAATATGTTGATAAGTACATAGAGCAAAAGCGATATCAATTAAACTTTTAGTTACATAATCGAGGGCGCGATTTTTAAATGCATTGTTGCCAAATGGCTAAATAGCTGACTAACTGGAATTTAAATTTCCCGCTGGTGATTCAGTTGGTAGGTTTGCTGTAAAAAAATGTCAAGGTGCCACGTTTATTTATTTATTTACTGACATTGTCATTCGTTTTGACAATTTAGTTTTGTATTACGAGTTTTTGGTTTAAATGAATTGTGTTGATACTTACATACAACAATATTTATAATTCATTTATGTTAGTTTCCTAAAATATTTTGATTAAAAGGAAATATGTAAAAGTGCGCAACATTGTGGCGGACTAGCCTAATGACATGGCTAAAAGTTTATATGGTATGATCTATATCTTATGCTTTCCGACAAAAGTGGCACAATTCAAAATTTTGTAATTTCTGGTTTTTCTAACCGATAGTAATAAAAACTTTTTAACGAGCAATACCGTCCTAATTTAAAATTAAATAATTCACCGCTAGGTGTCATGCGGACCAACGGTCACTTTTTGATTATTGGAATATGATTAACGTAGAAGACTGTACCAATTTAGTTGCGTCATGGTTGCACATCATAACATTTGTGTACGTTGGATCATACTTTTTGTGAATAAATATTTGAGACCCGCTTTACAGAGTAAAGAGTCGCAAAACAAAAATGACTGTGACTTTTTTTTAATATTAAATACCTAACTTTTTAAAGGCAATAGGTATTAAAAGTGTATCTAAAACTATACTTATTTACTATCAAACTCCATCTTAAAGATTAGTTAAAAACTGGTTGTGTAAGAAAACATAACACGATTCAACAATTTTCAATTGCCTCTACTGTAAAGTTTATAAATTTTGCATTGAGCCGCTTTTGTCGGAAAGCAGCGATATATGGTTATGAATAGGAATACGAACCTTGGGTGCGCCGTTGCTGTCAGACTGGGAGTTGGCGTTGCGCTGCCTGGGCGCGCCGCGCCTGCGGTAGCGCTGCTGCCGCTGCTGGCCTCCCTGGCCCTGCTGCTGGTCGCCCTGGCCCTGGCTGTTCTGCGACGTGGGGCGACGGCCGCCGCCTCCGCGTCCTCCGTGGAAGTTGCGCCGGAAGAAGCGGCGAGGCGGGCCGCGCCCCCGAATCGGAGCGTCACCGTTCTCATCAGGGTTGCCCTGGTAGGCATCTGCAATTCAAACGGAAACAGAATTAAAACAAATACATTTTAGGCTTGGAGTTCAGGGAAACTGAGTCCCATATAGTCTAAGAGCTAGCAAAGTTTTCGAGCAAGTATTTTAAGAAAGCTGGCTCTTTTATATATCTTTTACTATGATCTCTGGAACAGTATGCAGACTGTCTAGCTGCCGATACACGTTGCGTTGACTATTGCGCATCGGAAGAAGACCCTATATTTTTTTTATATAGTCCGTTAAATTCTAGTATTGAATATAAACTGAGCAAGCCTCCATAGCGCGGCGCGCAGAGGTTCCGCCTATGAAGCAAGGAGTCAGAGTTCGAGACCTGTACACACAGTATTAAATATTTGTTTTTTTTTTTGAACCAGCAGAATTATTTAATACTTTACTATCAGAATATAAACGAAAATAAAATAAAAAAGTTTTATACCCCGAGCCGGTCTCGAACTCCCGACTCCTCGCTTCATAGGCGGAACCTTTTCGCGCCGCGCTTTGGAGACTCATTCGGTTTATTTTCAATACTAGAATTTAATGCATTAATAAAAAATATAGGATCTTCTTGCAATGCGCAGTAGTGAACGCAACGTTTATAGACAGCCAGACGGACCGCGCGCTGTTCTACAGGGCATAGTAAAAGTCAAATCAAAGAGTCAGATGTCTTAAAATACTTGTTTTCCCGACGTTACTAGCTCTCGTACTAATAGTCCCATAGTCATTTTTCCGTTTCCGAAACTAGCGCAATCGAACAGAATTAACCTCGTGGGAAACCGGATGTGAAACCTGCAACTCCGTTCTTAGTTGCATCCTCTCAGGATAATTTAAAGAAACTGTATCATCCTGGCAAAGTTATGCTGGATAACATAAAAGATATAAAAGTTGCTCAGCAATAAAAAACATAAAGCCTGTGCCGATTGTCGATGCCGTGTGCAGAACGCTAACCAAAAATTATGACCGAGGGTCATATATTTTTGGGTCAAATATTTTTAAAATATAATTGGTCATAGCAGGACACTTAGTACATTGTGACTAATACAATTGTTTTGTATCAGAACTCATTTTGCTGTTGTTATTAAAAAAAGAAAAAAAAATCTACATGTGTGATAAAATAACCCTTTTTCAGCAGAAAAAGCTGAAAAGAAACGCCTATTTTCATCAATTAATTTAGCACAAATTTGGATACATTCAAACAAATTAAAAATTGTAAAAATGTGGACATTATTTTGTGCCAAATATGTTAAAATACACATAACGCCAGTCACTCAACACCAGCAAGCAACTAATTTACGATATTACCAGACTTAGATTTCGAATTTAATTCAAATAAGTAGTATATATGTAGTTATCAAATTATATTTGATTGAAGTTTAAGTACTTTGAATAGATTCATAAAGTTTTCATGTAATTTTATATCTAAAATTATCTTGTTTTGATATAGCCTAAGAGCTGACGACATATTTAGGGAACATATTTTAGGCAAGCTACAATAACTAAAAATGTATAGTTTATTAACTGGTGAACCCAGAATCCTAAGTCTGGCTGGGAGGTTGGGGGTATTTCGCTACTGCGCAACCCATAACATTTGCAAAAAAATAAATCCAAAAAACATCCTTTAGGCAACTTGAAATTTGTTTATTCTTAAATTTTAGCATCTATTTAACCTAGAAATAAGTGTGTCAGACTTTTTTTCGGGTTTAAAGTGTAACCAGACCATTCCAAATATGTTTAATTATTATACCTGGAAAACATACTTTAGGCATTCTAAAATTTTTACAGCGTGTTTATTAGATGATATTAAAAAATATGTGTTAATTGCCAGACGAATTCAATGAGATTTAATACATGCCAGACGCGAATAAAGATTTTAAATGAGCGCGATAAGAAAGTCTTATGAGTATCTATAAGCGCGAGAAAGATAGTTTATTGAGACCCGGTCGGCAGCCGATGCGGCTGACGTAACAGCATTTTGGAGTCGTAAAAAAACTAACTAATATTGAATAAATAAAAATAAACATTTTTTAATAAAAATGTATGATTGAAATCCTTTCAATAAGAAGACTTTTTAATTTAAGTATTTTGTATCTGAAAGAATAAAAAGACGAATAATTATTTAAAAAATAGCATAATATAAAATCTATTTCTTTCAAACGTCACAAAAGTATAATTATTATTATACTTTTGTGACATATTATATTATTATTAATTTTTGCGACCTGATTGACAATATAAAAGTCATTTTAACGCCTAAACATAAAAGTAAAGCACTTTTACTTAATTTTGAATCTATTTAGAAAGATTAACAATGGTAGGTACTTTAATAAAATTCCAGAATACTTATTTTTTTAGCACTGTACACGGTACCCTTTTGTCGGGGCTACGTTTTCTGGTGAAACCACTTCTTTAAATTTTAAAATATGTTGGCGCACTTTTAAAAATTCTTTGCAATTTTGTAGTCTGCCTTCATCAAAAACAATAAATTTGTCACTAGTAACTTTTTTACAAACTACACAACTTAAATGTTTTTTTATCCATTGTGATTTAGTAGTTAGTAGCGAAATTAGTAGTTACTAAAATATTTATTTGCAGTAATTATTCTAAACTATTTACACTATGCACGTCAATATTTAATTTATAAATACATATTTGTACATGGTAACTTAATTCCAACAAAATAATCTCTGAATTAAAAGTCTGCAAATAATTGAAATGAAACCGAAAAAAAATTGTTTTTATGAAAATTTGAAGTACATACTCCAAAATACTGTTACGTCAGCCGCATCGGCTGCCGACCGGGTCTTAATAAACTATCTTTCTCGCGCTTATAGATACTCGTAAGACTTTCTTATCGCGCTCATTTAAGATCTTTATTCGCGTCTGGTAAGTATTAAATCCCATTGAATTCGTCTGGCAATTAACACATATTTTTTAATATCATCTAATAAACACGCTGTAAAAATTTTAGAATGCCTAAAGTATGTTTTCCAGGTATAATAATTAAACATATTTGGAATGGTCTGGTTGCACTTTAAACCCGAAAAAAAAGTCTGGCATACTTATTTCTAGGTTAAATAGATGCTAAAATTTAAGAATAAACAAATTTCAAGTTGCCTAAAGAATGTTTTTTTGGATTTATTTTTTTGCAAATGTTATGGGTTGCGCAGTAGCGAAATACCCCCAACCCCCCAGCCAGACTTAGGATTCTGGGGTCACCAGTTAATAAACTATACATTTTTAGTTATTCTAGCTTGCCTAAAATATGTTCTCTAAATATGTCGTCAGCTCTTAGGCTAATAGTTTTGATATTAAGCTCAATACTTTTACTGAAGTATGTATATAATATTTTCGGCTATATATTAAATTTTAAGCTCACTGAAATATTTATTATGAATAAGTGCTGGGAAAACCCAGTTTTTACGATAAATAGACAGGGTTTTCCTTAATGACATGCTAATATTTAAGGGGACGATTCTTGGTCCTATTCTAAGAAAATTTTATATGAATGTACGTCCAAGAATATAATATCAAAGAATCACCCCTTAAATATTAACATGTCATTAAGGAACAGCCTGTATACTTGAATATCAATATTCTAAGGGTCAAAATGTGGAAGAGCATGCGGGAAAGAAGCTAGATATACAAATTACAAATGAAGCGATTAGATGCAAAAATCGTATAAAGCACGACGCATAAATTTTGCGAAAATGAATATCAAGAAATTCGCAAATATATTACCTTATCAGAGACAACACTTGAAAAACTTAATCTTTTGTACCCCCAGGGCCCGAATTCTGTAACTTTGACATAAAAACGTTACGCTTTCAAAGCGGTGAGCGAAAGTATGCGAAAGCGGAACTTCAAGCAGTCGATTTTGGTATTCTCGTTGCTGTGCGAATCGTTTTCTGGATACGCGTTGAGCACATATTGACAGCATCGTAATTTCGCAGGTATCTAAGAGTCAAATGTGACTAAAACAATGAAAAATGTCAATGTTACGTGAATTTTATAACCTATTGTTGAGTTATGTCAACCTATTTTTCTATGGATATGTCATTATTCTTATTATACGACGAAATGTTGAAGACGCTTCTCAGCATTTTCGATGTTTTGAACAATATTTATAGCTACCAACTTGTAATTTGTCGATTACTTTATTGAGGAATTTATAAAAAAAGTAGTAATTTTCACTAAAGAGCAAGATGACGCACAAAATCACAATTTTTTCGATTTTCACTGACAGTTCGACAAGCAAAACGATCCTTTAAGGCAACCGTTTTCAAAGCGCTCAGCGCAATCAGTAAAGACGCTAAGCACGTCAGACGAGAATACCGAAATCGTTGATTAAGTGCGCGCTCAGCGAAAATTAACGTCATATACGCTGAGCGTCTAAAAGCGGTTAGCGTTTTCAAAGTTACAGAATACGGGCCCAGGGCCCGAATTCTGTAATTTAGAAAACGGTAAGCGCTTTCAGACGCTCAGCGTATATGATATTAATTTTCGCTTAGCTCGCACCTGACTACCGATTGAGGTATTCTCATTTGATGCGCTTAACGTCTTTACCCATTACGCTAAGCGATTTGAAAACAGCTATCTTAACGGATTGGCTTGTCGAACTGTCAGTAAAAATAGAAAAAATCGAGATTTTGTGCGTTCTCTTACCAATTTGTGTACTTGACCAATTTTTTAATTCTGCGTCTACAAGAGAAATATTATGCAGGGTAATGCATTTAAAAAATTGAGATACACCATTATAAACATTGCAATCTTGGACATGCCATAAAAAATATCGTGTATGAGATTATGAAAGTGTTTCTTCGATGATTTATTTTGTTACCCTTGGTGCTTAGGAAAACATAGGTAAGTAGTTAAGTAGTAAGTTTCAATTAGTCGTAGAAGTTTGCTCACCTAATTTTAATGTAAGCATTCAGAACGTCATAATTAGTGGTAGAAATTTTCAATTAGTGGAAAAAGTTAACAAACTTGACTTTTCCACTAATTATACTTCAAAATTTGCGAGGAATGTCATTTTGGCCTTTGATTATCACCCGTCAAGAAAAATTTTGGTTAGAAATCAAAAGTTGATTGTTTTATAAGCTAAATATTATGCTTTCTCTATGGATACAACAGACTACCGCAAGCTGTTGCTAGGATATTTTATTAATTTTAATTGTCTTTTTTAGACATTGTGAATGATCGTAAACTAAAAAGTATAAAGTTTAATTGAAACCACTAATTTATTTCACTAATTAAGAGGTTCTGAATGAAGCTTAACTTTCAATTATTGGAAAAAGCTAACAAACTTTTGACTTTTCCACTGATTATACTTCAAAATTTGCGAAGAATGTCATTTTGGCCTTTGATTATCACCCGTCAAGAAAAATTTTGGTTAGAAATCAAAAGTTTATTGTTTTATATGCTAAATATTATGCGTTCTCTATAGATATAACAGTCTACCGCAAGCTGTTGCTAGGATATTTTATTAATTTTTAATTGTGTATTTTAGACATTGTGAATGATCATAAACTAAAAAGTCTAATTGAAACTACTAATTTATTCCACTAATTGTGAGGTTCTGAATGAAGCTTAATAAAGTTAAATTCACTTCGGCTTTTTACCACTTATGCTGAACGAATGTTTTCGCTGAACAAGTTCACTGTAAAATCGACAGGTGAGTCAATATTTGGACAGTTCAAAATTTGCATGCCATTTCTGTTTCCAACGACGATGCACAGTGTAATCCAAAACGCCGTATTCTTTCCTTACGGCGTAAACGATTTTTAATCATGTTTCACTTAACTTTAAAACTGCCAGGAAGTACGTATCTTTGGGGGTCAACACAATAACCGAAATAAACATCATTTTGCATCTAATCGCCTAGACTTATCAACTAAAAAAAGTAAGAGAGAAAAAAATACCCACACATACCTCTGGGGGGCCCCATGAATCCCCTCATGTAGCCGCCGCGGTAGCCGCCACGGCCTCCTCTGCGCGGCCTGTAGCGACGCGGGGGCCCCTGCTGCGGTCCGCCCTCGCCGCCAGATTGGCCGCCGTCCTTGTCGCCATCGCTCGTGTCGCGCGGGCGGCGGGGAGGACCGCCCCTTCCGCCACGGCCGCGTGGGTAGTACCTGGAAGGAAGAGGAGGCAAGTTAGATATATTGTAGAAAAATGAGGAATGGGATGGATTAAGTGGATTTATACTTCAAATGTGCTGTAGTAGAAACCAACTTTATAGTCCCAAATCCTAGGGCCGCTAGTCATTACTTATTTTCTCACAAATAAAATATGAGATAATGTAGTACCACAGATTTATAATCTTTGTTTTTTCTTTATTGTTTTTCGTGGTTCCAATTTTCAGAATCGGGCACTAGTTAGGTGACTAGTTTGCGCACATAGCACGCCCACTTATGGCCTCTAAAATTGTGCACAGCGCCTGACCGGCACAGTTATTAAAGAGATATCGGAAAACCGAATAGCGTCATCCAGTATTTACGCGTACCTTATCATGGTTACGATATGCGCGAGTCAACGCAACACCCGCTAATAACGTTACCGCCTGACGTAATTTGCGGATCAATTACACCAAGCGCTCTTTCTAAATAACCCCTGATAACGTTTAAAAATTGCTTAAATGGGCATGTGCGGGTATTTGACAACCGGAGCCGGCCGGCGGGATCTTTTATTTTAGGTTATGTTTGAATTGTTTTGAATTATTGCTTTAGTTTTATTAGGTAATTTGATATTTAAGTAGCTGGGATTAGTTTTAATTAAATAAATATGGCCCAAAATATGGATTCCACCTCTTCCAATACTAAAGAACCTATAAAGAGTCTTAGGTTTACAGCAGATGACGACTTAGCCCTTCTAAGAGAATTTGTTGCTTGTTGTCCTAAACCCATTGGCAGACGTTGAACAATAAAGCACTGGAAATAAGCAATTTAGCCCTTTAGTTTTAAAATACCTAGTAAACAAAACAATTTCAAAGTTTTAAATTCAAGTTAGGTTAAGGTTAAATAGCGGACGCGACGCGATCAGAATTCTTTCCGATCCTATAACTATAAATGAAGAGAGTTAATACCACCTCACGTAAAGGAAATAACACCTGGCCTTATTAACGTCCATGCACGCTATTCGGTTTAGCGATATATCTCTATTACGCTGTTTATTGTTATTTTACGCGAGTTTATTTTTGCGCACAGGAAATTTGACTCGTTTGCACATCGTCATAAAAAACAATTTTCGTACCACGAATTAGGGACAAGATTTTTATCTGTATACTTATAGGATACCTAATCTGTGGTAGTACTGTCTGTTCAGCGATCGTTCAACGTTACGCAAGTGTCTTATATTTTCATAAACAAAAATATTTGTATTTAATTTTTAATCAAATTTTAAATCTTGTAATCATTAGCTTATAAGAGAATAAACAACCCACTACAACTTGGCAACATTGTTGGATGCCCGCAGTGGGACGTAGACGCTAGTCCAAAATGACAATCTCGCCAATATAACTGATTTTTTGACAACTGTAATATAACCTTATTTTTTGGTTGACAAATTAGGGACATTTATCGCTAAGAGGAAAGGGGTATTCTTACTTTAAGATTTACTTATTTAAAATTTTCAATTTATTAATTTGGTATTTTTTTTCCTTCACAATAAATAAAATACTTGCAATAATTATAATCACACACAGACACTGTTCACACATTAGTAAAGTATAAATCAGCTTAATTCATTCTACTATATAAATAGTTTTAATGAAAATGAACTAAAACAAAAGGTATACAGAGTGGTCCAAACTGTATTCCCGAAACTTCAGCAGCATATTTTACACATAAAAATAAGTATAAAAGTTCGTATGAACTTGTCCTAAAATGCTTCGTTTCGGAGATACAAAGTGTAGAAGTTTCATTCCTTATTTGCATGAAAATTGGTTTCTAGAAGTTTTTAACATGAGAAACTTGATTTTGATGTCAATATATGACCCCTATCTACTTGTCAATTATGACATGCATTGACTATTTCAATTCCAAATATCTGAGAACCGTTGCTCGTAGCGGCTTTTACCAAGAGACCTTTTTTACGTGGAAGAAGGCACAATGTGTATGCATAATACAATGTATTTCACTCAGTAGTTTTATACAGGTACGAACAAAAAGTTACTACTTATTTCACATGTCAAAAAAACACGCAGACACCAATTTTTATGCAAACATCAACTATAGTTTAAAATTATTTGAAAAAAAAATCGAAATAAAAATAAAACTTCTACACCCTGTATCTCCAAAACAAACCATTTTAGGACATAAGTTTATACGATTTTTTTTTACTGATTTATATGTGCAAAATATGCTGCCCAAGTTTCCGGAATACAGGGCCACCCTGTATATCAAATCAACAGTAGGTTCCACAATATTTATTGTTTTAGGTGAGTAATTAAAGGTTCCATATTAATATGTTAATGATCAATTAGAATAATTAGTAAGTTTAGTTCATTGAAAAAAAAGCAAAGTTTTTTAATCCTGAAAAATGTATAATCTATATTACTTAAAATTGATATTTAACTCTTCAAATTTATAGGATATTATCATGATATTATCCAATTTAGTTTTTTTTTCCAAAAGCACATTTCAAGAAAATTTTAATAATCTTCAATATAAAAACTTAAATTTATTTATTTATATTTTTGAAATTATTAATGAATTTTATATTATATTCTATTATATAAAAGCATGTTTAGTAGTGATATTACACCCGGTATAGGGTGATTTACGACGATGGTAGGTTAGATATTAATGTAAAATCGATGCGATTTTTGAAAATTTAGATTTTTACAAAACACCTGCTTCATGTATGTACCTAAATTATTTTTAGCGTTAGTGTTGCCGCTTCGTTTAAAAAGTAGTAGTGTCTTTCAGATAAACGAAAATATTTTATTTTATCTCCCTGTGTGATATTCAATGGGTTCCTTTAAACAGATCATATATATCCATTTTCCTTAACCTATAATCCATATTTCAGATTTCAATATGCTGAAAATAATTTAGACCGATTTAGCAAATAGCTTTATACAGGGTGCTACAAATTCGAGGTACGAGCATTGGTATCTCGGTAACCGTAATAGATACGAACATGGTTAAATTTGGGCAAAGATGCGCTTTAGGATGTTCACCAAGATAACATCAAAAAAGTTTTAAAAATTTCAAGGGTTGCTGAATTTTTTGGAAAAAAATCGATTTTTTTGAAAATCAAATTTATTTTTTCCGGTCGTTACTTTTTAGAACATCAAAAAACTAATTGCACATTCTCATAGCCACTTTATTAGAGTTATCTGATGGTATTTTTATATTTTCAAATTAGCTGATAATTTGTGAGATACAGAGGCCAACTTAATTTTTTTAAATACGGACCTGCATTTTTTATTTCAGGTTTTGAAAGAACTCGGTCTCCTGAGTACAATGATATGCCACACTTGATACTTTTTTTTGTTTTGGGTACCTTAACAATAACAAAACTATTTAATTGTTATTTAAAATAATTTCAAATCCGGCTCTGGTTTTTTAATTTCTTTAATCTGATTATATTCATCACAACAATATTGATCAGCGCTAATTAACATTGAATAAGGAAAATCAATGAAAATTGTTTCGGACATGTGAAATCAATACATTTCAACATTAAGAGTACAAAAACAATTAACAAGTAATAAAAACCAATTAAAGAGTACAAAATGCATTCGGAAGTATAAGAAGATTTGTTCAAAGAGCTATAAATAAGATTGAACGAAAAACAAATGTGTGCATTATGGAGGGTGGTAACCCTTTCGAACATGAAGAGCATTAGAAACTAGTTTGTAGAAGTTGATTTATTTATAATAACTACGATTAATATTATGGATATTATTAGATCGTACACTGAGATTTCAAATTCACAATAAAAAAAGTTAAAAATAATAGATATCTTTAAATTGCTGACCTGGATATTAATTATTTGAATCTTTCAATTGGCGCGAGTATTCAATGTTAATTGACGCTGATCAATATTGTTGTGCTGAGATCAGATTAAATAAATTAAAAAACCAGAATCGGACTTCCAATTATTTTAAATAACAGTTAAATAGTTTTGTTACTGTTAAGGTACCCAAAACAAAAAGAAGTATCAAGTGTGGCATATCATTGTACTCAGGAGACCAAGTTCTTTCAAAACCTGAAATAAAAAATGCAGGTCCGTATTTAAAAAAATTAGGTTGACCTCTGTATCTCACAAATTATCAGCTAATTTGAAAATATAAAAATACTATCAGATAACCCTAATAAAGTGGTTATGAGAATGTGCAATTAGGAAAAAATAAAATTGATTTGCAAAAAAATCCGGTTTTTCCAAAAAACTCAGCAATCCTTGAAATTTTTAAAACTTTTTTGATGGCATCTTGGTGAACATGCCAAGGCGCAACTTTGCCCCAATTTAGCCATCTTCGTATCTATTACGGTTTCCGAGATACCAATGCTCGTACCTCGAATTTGTAGCACCCTGTATATAAGTATATAAAAATCAAAATTTTCAAAAAAATATCACCACTTCCACAGAAAGGGCTAGACTACCCTCCCCTGAATCACCCTGTATGTCAAAGCGTATTTGAACATAAAGCACCATTAATACTTTATTAAATTATTTAGGTCGTCCAGACTAGACACCCACCTTACGGAAAATATGCCAAAACCAATTAATTATGACAAAACTGTTACCAAGCTGTTCCTGAAACTACAGAACGTTAACATTCTTAAAAAATGTCTGATCTCATTCAAAATTTCCTGATTCTCGGTAAAAAATACATTAAACTCAAAGTGTTTTTAAAGTAACATTAAATGTAACCTCTGACTCTTGGGTTTATGCAAATTTGTAATATCGCACGTATAGCAAAAATAATAAATAGCATAAAGATTAGTTTTAGGTTTTCGATGCATTAATTTTTGATAAGATGTCAGTACCATGTTTTAGTTGTTGTATATGTAACGGATAACTAATAATTTCCAAACCATTTTGGATTTTATTTCAAGTTTTATTAAATCGTACCTACTCAGTAATTAACGTGCTTCGTTTGTCCGTTAGAGGACACATACCAGGTGCGTCTCAAAAGTGGCTCACGCCTATAACTTTTATTTTTTTAGTTAAAAAAATTAGATTTGGTATGTTAGTATATGACATAAATTAGGATTGATTGACGTATTAAATTGTTTTCGGTCACTTCCTGTTTCACCGCAAATGACTACAACTTTTGATTTTTAAACGGCACCCTCGGTATTTTTTTACTTTATTCGAAAGAAAATATCACTCTGAATGGAATGACATATCATATGTCAACTTTTGACATTTTCGCATATGGTTTATTTGAAATTATAACTTGCGGTTCGTAACAAAAATTTGACTCGAAATACCAAGTGTGCGGTATCAAATTATTCGTAAAAAAATGCTTTTCCAAATATGCTAATGAGCCACCCTCGTTCCATTTGAAAAAATTGAGATATGATTAAAAATACGATTTGAGCATTTTCTAACTGGCCAGTACAAGACACTAAAAACATTAGACGATCAAATCAAATTTTCCAAGGCTCCTTGATTAAGAATTAGTGTTTTTAAAATAGCCATGGCACTCTAGATTAAATTTTAAAATACGATTTTTTATTAAGCGAAAATGTCAAAAGCTGACATATGATATATCATTCTATTCAGAATGTCATTTTCTATCGAATAAAGTAAAAAAATACCGAAGGTGCCATTTAAAAATCAAAAGTTGTAGTCATTTCCGGTGAAACAGGAAGTGACCAAAAACAGTTAAATACATCAATCGATCCTAATTTATGTCATATACTAACATACCAAATCTCGTTTCTTTTTTCTGAAGAAATAAAAAAAGTTATAAGGGCGAGCCACTTTTAGAAGAACTGATATTTGAACTATTTGAAGAACTGATATTCAGATTTGAATGGGATTTAGGCTGAATATGTCTTGATAAGCACTTATGTAGTAAATACTACAATGGCCTTTTTACGAAAAAAAAAATAGTCCTCCCTGAAGTTGGAACATTTTTCTACTAGAATTTATGTTGGGCTAGTTTTCATCTTTCCCGGATTATTGTAAAAGTCGAATGTTACAGCGCTTAACAACACATAGGCATCCAAAATCTCATTCAATTCGGAATAACGGTTATGTTGGGACACCCTGTGTTATAAAAAATAAATTGAATCATAAACATTCAATACCAGCGGTTTTTAGATATTCATTTCTAATTTACCGCCCACATCGTTATTAAAAAAATAGTCAATTAAATAAAACTTTATAGACATTCCATTGAAAATTTACCATTTCTTTAATTATTACTCTGAAATCATTATGGTGATTCAAGATTTAAAAAAACGTAAGATATTTAAATATCCACAAAACTAAATATAGCAGCTTATGTAATATAATAACTCTTCTCTAATAAATCGAGCAGAAAAACCAAAAAATCTTAAAAACTTCCTGATTTTTTAAAAATAGATCTAAATTATAGGTCAAAGACTAATTTTAACATAATTTTAAGTATGGACAATATGAATATTTAGCAATTTTGTTGCAGACAAGATAAAAAAACGCTATTATAAATAATATGCACTTAAAAAAGAAAAAATGTGAATAGATAGATAGTTTAAACATATGTAATAATGTTTTTTTAAGTAATTGAAGCAACTTCGAAAATTGACAGTCATAAAATTTAGCGCTGTACTTCCTTTAATAAAAAGATGGGACATTTTTTTATTAAAGTAATATTTGCACTATTAATACTAGCTAAATTAATTATTGTAAATACTTAAGCAGAGTAAAACATTTTCCAACAGGCGGGCAACATAAAATTGTGAAAAAATCAGGGATATAAAAGGGCTAAACTTAGGTATGCATATGACATTAAACACAAAATGGGTTTGGAAGAATTGCATGCAGAATCAAAAAATAAACCGTAAGTACCAGAAAGTTGAAAATATTTTGAAAAAGAAACCGTTGAAATAACGTTAACTTAAAACATTCAAATTTGTATCTAAATTAGTCCTAAAAAACTTTTAAAGAACCAGTTGCGTAAAGAAACTCTGTATTCCTTGTTGCTGTGAAGGAAACTTAAATTGCTTAAAACTTTATGCTGATTATTGCAATATGCCAAAACTGTGTTAAACCGATAACTTTCGAACTTAACTTCTATAATAATGGTCAAAAAATAATGTAGTCACGACGAAAATAGATATTTTAATATATTTAAGCTTTAAAGACTCGACTGCAGCTGGTAGAATTATTATTAAATATGTTTGCTACCATGAAAAAATAAAATATCAAGCTTTTAAGCCAACAAGGTACACTATTCGAACAGATGTACTAGAATCAGAGACATACAGAATACAGGTAGGGAGAATGAGCATGAATGAACGCAGAAATTCTAATGATTGTGGCCGCCATGTTCCTGCCTAGGTCTATAGGAGGAGGTCAGAAAGTAATAGCGATTATAAGTTTCTTGACGGCCATCTTTAGTTAAGTCTTAAAAATATATCGCGTTAGACTACTACAAACACATGAAGTGAATAATTATCTTTATACCAAAAGGAGAAAACAGAAAATACTCTAAATTGTAAAATTACAATAAACAATAATTAAAGTCAATTTTTATCATACTTCAACGCACTGTTTAAAAGTTTTGAACACTGTTTAAAAGTTTTGAACACTGTTTAAAAGTTTTGAACACTGTTGAACTGTTTAAAAGTTTACATATAAGAATTTCTGACTTGTTATTTTATTTACCTGTTTAAACCCACAATAATTATTCTTAAAATTCTGAGTATAATGAGCCATGATTAAAATATTAAATGAATAGTAAAATTGATTTAAACTAACTACCTACTAATTGTTAAATTATTACACAAAAATACTAAAAACAGAAGAATAGAAAACCCACTTATATCAGTCTATAAGTTTAAAAAAAACACAAAAAATTAGAACACATTCCAAACTAATCTCCAAACAACAAATGATAATAGGACAACAAGAAATGATAATAGGACAGACAAAAGACAAAATTAAACTCAAATCAACTATTATTATTATTACTTATTGATCTCCCCTGTAGACCTAAGCACGTACATGGCGGCCACCATAGAATAAAAAAAATTGGCCGCCATAGGATAAAAATTTTTTTGGATACGCGCTCATCAAAGCTTATTCTCCCCTACCTCAAGGTGTTTCCTAAGAAGTCTAAAAAATGTTCATGTGTAGATATGTTTTCAAAGAAAAAAAGATTATATGAATATAGGGTTTAACGTTGTCCTTTTTGATTTATGAGCCCTAACAACTAAATGTTCGGAAAAACAAAAATTTATTGAAAACTTTGATTTACATAAACTGAATTATTAAATTTAATAACTACATTAACAATACATTAAAATGTGTCATTTCTAATGAGTATTTAAATTAGTTTGGTTTCTATAAACATTAAAATAAACTGCAGGGGAATAAATAAACAAAAATATTGCACAATATCGTGATAAGTAAATGTTCGGACATTTTAAGAAAAAACTATTTTAATATGGCGTTACATCGGGGCATTTTAAGAAAAAAACTATTTTAATATGGCGTTACATCGATCTACGTTTTTAGAACCGCTGCAATCCTGTCTGGCATTATTTTTATTAAGTGACATAAGCCAATTTTGCAATAATTCATCTAATGTCATCGTCAAATGGGCAACGGTTTGTTGGAAATTTTCAGGCATTTTTGTTTCATTTTATGCCACAACGCCTCGTTAACATTAAGGTTCGAACTATTCGAAGGCCATTAAGGGACCTTAATGTTATTGTCCCTAAACCATTTTTTAGTAGTTTTAGCAATATAACATAGAGCAGCGTCCTGTTGAAATATAAAATTCATGTCCTGGTAAAGATCTCTCACACTTGGCACAAGATTTTTCAAAATTTCTGGATTTTTTTACTCAGTAATTGTACCTTCTAACACGTCATACCTTCCTAGACCCATTGTGGACAAACACACTCAATTCATAATGCCTCTAGGAAATTGCACTGTACTTTTGAAGCACTCTTTATCAAATACACACTCTAGCGGTGTTTGACTTTTTTTAGACTACTTAGGAAACACCCTGTTTATCTCTGACTAGAACACTCTTAGTGGATTTGTTTCTATTTTTAATTGAAAGGTTATTTGTTAAATTCGTTCTGTTATTGGTTATTAGTTTAGTGGTGTTACCATAATCGGTACCGGCGTCTATCTGCTGCGTAGGGCGATCCGCGGACCGGTTCTCCATTGGGGCCCGTCACGTTGGCGGCCTCGTTGCCCTTTTCTCCGACCACTACATTGAATTCCACTGTTTCTCCGTCCCCTACGGAACGGACGGCCTTTTTTGGGTTGTTCTTAGCAATCCCCGACTGAAAATAATATTTAGGAATCAGTATCAAAGATATTATTTATATTAATAATTATTTAAAAAAGAAATAAAACTAAGTTTAAATTGATAACAGGTGTTTTTTTAGACAAGTTTTAAACAATCCGAAATTTGGAGTTGAATTCATGTTTAAATCAATAAAAACTGTTAATACCATAAAAACACGTTTTGTTTAAAAAAGAAACATGTTTTTTTCAACCCATAAGGGCCTAAGATAATAATCCTGGCCTCAGAAAACTAAATAGTTTATTATTAGTTTTTTTTTTAACTAAAACAGTTAGACTGGGCTTTCTAAATTGATTCCACATAAACTTTTGTTCTATAACTCAATAAAAAATCTCATTTATTATGAACAGGGTTGGCATGATTTAAATGAAATGATTTAAATCATAATTTAAATCAAGTGATTTTTTAAATTTTAATCATGTGATTTAAATCAAATAATTAATTTTATTGAAACTTTATAATAAATCAAAAAATAACTGTAAAAGTTATAAAAATCTGTCCAAAAAAAAATATATTTCTGTAACAGATATTTTTTTGTTATTTTTAGGTCTATTTTCATGATTTTTTTAGCAAGCTGTATATAATTATATCAACTTTAATTTGTAAACTCGGTTTTTTTATAAACCTTATGCCCACTTGTACCGTTTGTATAAACTTTGTTTAAAGGCTAAACAGTGATTAACTATACATATTTTATTATAGTTAATCACTGTTTAGCCTTTAAACAAAGTTTATAGAAACGGTGCAAGTGGGCATTAGTATTTGGCATATTATACAGGGTTAATCGGGGAGTTGTTTTTTACCTTAACTTTAAAACACCCAGTGCAATAATTTGGTGTATAAATTTTCTTAAAATATAATTTTATGGTCAGAACCATGTCTCCTGAGCATTTTGTTTTTTGGATCAAAATCAAAATATAATAAAAGGAGGAAAATGTGGTACCAAAAAACAAAAATAAAAAGATTAAATCCATGTGTATACATATTTTTTATACATTGTTTCTTAATCTTTTTAGTACGGTATCGCTATAAAAACAAATGAAACGCAGAGTACTACTACTGCTATCACTTAATTTGTTAAAATTTATGCACATTTTAAGATAATACAAATTTATGCAGGAATGCAAAATTATTTTTTTTAGTTTTTCAACCACATACTCTCCATCTCAAACTAAATATTGGTCTGAGATTGCAGTCATATTTAATTAGTTAATAACACCGATTAAACTGCGTTAATAATATAAAAATATACAGGGTGTTATTGTGTCCTATTAGTCTAAGAGCTGGCTACATAAAAAACCTTATCATCGTTACATGGCTAATTTTTTGTATGAAGTATCCTTTTGTGTAGCCATTATGAAATAGTCATGTCTGCCAGCGCGATCCCGGGGCTTAAAGCGGGGGCGGCCAATCGAAAGGGTGAAATTTTGACACTAAAAATATTATAAGATACATGAGTTATAATTGCAAAAATAGCTTTTATTTATTATTAAGAAACGTGGAAAATTGTTGGCAGACATTTTTCTAGTCGCTCAAATGCCGACAGACAACGAGAAAGAGGCATGAAACTTTAAAAATTATTAAAAAATGAAATTTCAAGAATGAAAAAAAATATGGCATATTTGCATGCCGATTGGTGAAATGTCATATTTATTTATTTTAAAAGCCGTATGCAAAAGGGCAGACAAAAAGATCGTGGCTCAATCAGCTGCAGACAGTTATCAAAAGCGCGATATTACTCTAGCGCTTTATTCATGGAACCTTCCCCTAGGAGATGCAAGACCTTGTCGTTGGTGGGGAAGCTCCTGGTCAGGTGCTGGGGGGAATCCCCTCTAGCACTTGGCTTGGTCTAAGAAGCATCTCACTCATCGTCTTGTCCCTGACTGTAGTGTCGTGGCCAGGGAATTGCACCAAGACATATAACGATACCGGGCGGGGCTACGGACAGCCTCAACCTTGGGCACCGGGGCACCCCATTGTATTTTACCCCTTACTTCTACATGCGGGGCTCTGTAGAAGTGGACCGACTGTCCCTAGCGACTCATAGGAACACTACGAGATCTGATAATAATAGTAATAAAAACATCACCGGTGAAGCTGTAGGGAAACCCCTAGCACACTGGGAACAGTAACAATGAAAGTTCCAAGGGGCCAAACCCAAAGAGAACTACAGGAGAGGTGGCTGACACTTGCGTGAGACCATCCTCCGCAAGTGGCATACAAGCTACCACCTCCTCCAAGGGTCGGGAGCCTACCTCCTACCTCTAAACCCAACAGGCGACACAAGCAACCGTTTCGTCTACCCGGCCTGGGTCGTAGCTCCTCGACTGTGAGGGACACGGGTCTCCGTAGGAAGTCCTGGGACTGTATGATGAGTTATAACTCAAGAAAGGGGGACACAATAGATCTCTAAGGTCGCAGAGATTAACCCCCCTCCCACTTATTCCAATTCTAATTATTCTAATTCATGGAACGCTGGCCGCCTCATCCATTTAAGTATAGATAAATCATATAATATAATATATTATATACTATTATATTATAAATATATTTTTTTTATTATTTCAATAACGATTTTTTTTTGCATACGGCTTTTTAAATTAATTAACAATAAACATGACATTCCACCAACCGACATGCATGTATCAGGGTTGGCAAATATCATGATATTTATATAAATATCAAATATCGGATATATATCTGATATATATCCGATATATATCAAGTTTTGATATTTATTTTTGTTTCTATTTTTTATGTAAAACTGCGTTTAGTATCAAGTAAAATCAAGAGCTCAAGCAAATATTTTTATTTCAACTTAAATATTGTTGCTTTGCACATAATAGGAACAACATTAAAACATAAATATATAAAAAATATACAGAAATTCTAAAAAAATAAACAGAACTTCTAAATAATAAATAGAAATTCAAAAAAATTAACAGAAATTCTAAAAAATAAACGGAAATTCTAAAAAATAAACGGAAATTCAAAAAATAACAACAAACAAATTTATATTTGATTTATTAATTTTATTAATGGTAAATCATCGTCAGATTCGGTTAGGAGTCAGAATCAACTGATACTGTTTCTGGCAAAGTTTTTGGTACATTTGAATTGTCCCAGATCCAATCAATATTATCTTTTTTGTTTTTTTTTTGTTCTGATTGTTGTATTTAAATAAAAAGGTCAATTTTCCAGCTTTTTCGTTCCATGTTGCCTTTTTTAACGTAGAAATTTAAGAAAAGAGTTGAGTTTTCTTTTTTTATAAATATCCTAATATATATCAAGGTATAAATATCATGATATATATCAATGATATATATCCGATATATATCATTGATATATATCATGCCAACCCTGGCATGTATGCGATGATTTTCTTTTGTCAAAATTCTATGCCTCTTTCGCGTTGTCTGCCGGCATTTCAGCCACGAGAAAAATGTCTGTCAACAATTTTACACGTTTCCTAATAATAAATAAAAGCTATTTGGCAATTATAACTCGTGTACCGTATAATATTTTTAGTGTCAAAATTTCACCCTTTCGATTGGCCGCCCCCGCTTTAAGCCCCGGGATCGCGCTGGCAGACATGACTATTTCACAATGGCTACACAAAAGGATACTTCACACACACACATATATATATATATATATATATATATATATATATATATATATATATATATATATATATATATATATATATATATATATATATATATATATATATATATATATATATATATATATATATATGTGATATATGATAAGATTTTTTATGTAGCCAGCTCTCAGTCTATATTAGAAGTTCTATAAAAATCTGAAATTTTGGTTCCTTATGTAAACAAATGTGTTACCGAAATATAATATTTTTGATCATACAGTGAGTCCCCTATTGATTTGACAGCGAAGTCGGAAATAGTTTATAAAGGTCTGCCTATGCTAAATACACATGCCAAATTTGAACAATTATGAACAAGCCAATTTTAAGTAATTTAAGAAAAACTGCATCTAATTTTTAAATTAAAACTGAACAGGTAGCAATGCAAACAAAACCAGTCAAATGTCAACATACCTTAAGTTCTCCCTATGATTTTAGCATTGTCAAATGTAATCTGTTGTGCTATGTACACTACGACCTTATAGTACCTATGCTTACTGTCACCAAAATGTGTTTTTCTAATTTAAAACTGGTTAGGCTTTTGCCACATTTGGCAAAAGCCTAACGTTTAGAAAATACAATTTGGCGTTTTTACAATATTATAGAATGACAACTTAAGGTACGTTGGCATTTGTGTGGTTTTACATTATTACCTGTTCAGTTTTAATTTAAAAAAGGATGCAGTTTTTCTTAAATTAGTTAAAATCGGTTTCTCCAAAATTGTTCAAATTTGGCATGTGTATTCAGCATAAATAGGCAGACCTTTAAAAAAAATATATTTGGGAGCCAATATTTAGACAGTTCAAAATTTGCATGGTATTTCCTGTTTCCAATGACAATGCACCACCCGGTATAGACATATTATGTATGTATAATAAATTTTATGTATCATTTCAATACAAAGAAGAGAAAGGGAATCACAAAATTGTAGAGTCTATCCAGCAGAAAATATGAGTGAAAGTCAATTATTTGTCATTTGAATTCAGAAATAGACTGGCATGAAAGCTGAGTTTAAAAAACAAATATAAAAATGTTCCCCATCAAAAAACTACCAGAAATCAAAAGATTCCCAGTAATCAGTATTTGATGGAGGTACCATAATCTAGCACACTTATGACTCAAGCATCTCCTAAAAGGATCAGAGATGGATCTAAGGAGTGTGCATTTATTTAAAATATTTTACATTCCATGTTCATTTCATTTGTAATTCAACTGAGTCAACTTTGTCACATTTAAACGGTATTAACTTACCTGATGAACAAAAACATCTTCTTTAGTGTCATTACGGTTTATAAAACCATATCCACTTTTAACATTGAACCACTTCACCGTACCAGTTACTTTGGTTGCTGTAAGAAGAAAAAGTACAATGAACCTAATGTGATATTTGTCCATAAACAACTTTTCAAAAACTTTATAGAGCCCTTTAACTTGTGAAATTATTTTATGCACCACTAATAACGATTATTATTATTATCCAGTTAGAAAAATTGTTATTTTAACATTGTCATTCCAAATAATAAAAAAAAACGTGTTTAGAGTTGGCTTAGAAATAAAGACTGCTGTCAATTTATTATTTAAAATTATATGAATGTCTTTTATAGTCATTTCAAAGCCAACTATAGGTACTCCTTTCTGTTTTTTCTATCATACTGTATTTTCTTATAACTAGACAGACAACACATTTCAGATTAAATCTATCAAGAGCTATAAAAAATACCTAATAATGGTGACAGGAACAACTGCTGCTGACATAGTCTTTGAATTTCATGTAAAATATTTGACATTTATAATATAAAAAAGTAAACAATGATACCTAAAAAAACAAAATAATGTCCAAAGAAAAACTAATAAAAAATAATTGTTTTTTAAACTAAAGATAGATTTTATTTCATAGGTATTTGAAATGTGTTGACAGGTGCCACAAAAAAGTAACAAAAAATACTTTTTTCTGTCCAAATAGATTGACTTACTAAAAAACCAGTATGGTATAATAAATATTTCTGTGATAAAAATTATGATGCTGATAAAATGTAATTTTTATTAGATCAAAACACATGTATATAATATATTATAATATTCCCTAATTCTCAGCAGTGTCAGTCAATTTTCAACAGTGTCAAGCATCCTATCTCGAGTTTTTTTAATGAATTTAAGCAGGAATATACAAATGCAATATTTTTTTTGTTCAGTCTCGCGTGGGAGCACATTACAACAAAAGCGTTTTTTTATTGCTGGCTTGTACTAATAATAGCACCAAAAAACGGATCTCCATCAAGTGTTCAACATTTCCTTAAAACCCAACTAAATATTATATACCTAGTTTAGTCTGTGATTTTGGTAAAACAAACTCTTAAATCAGGAGAATAGAAATGGCGGTCTTAAAAAAAAGGATAGCTAAAAAACTATTTAAATACCAATAGGAGAATAACACTCCAAACAAGTCACTAATAATAGAGTGGTTAATGAAATTATGAATAATTATGACTACAACGCATATTTCAATGAGAAATAATATGTGTGATACAAAAAATAGTAATATCTATGACCATGTGCTCAAAGTAAAATGGACGTTTCGGCGACAGGGCCCACGCCACGATTAAAATTAAACGAATGAAAATTTATATTACCGATAACTTCTTTCTGTTTCGGTGGAGCTTTCGCTTGTTCTTGGGGTTGTTGTTGTTGCTCCGCTTCAGCCATGGTGTTATACGGGCCGGTGGAAGATGTTAAAACCGCTACCTCACCTTGATGTTGCTTCTTCCTGTCGAATTCTGATGTTGAGAGATCTTGCGATGTTCGGCTTTTTTTTAAGTATAAATAAACTTTTTCCGATTCAAGTTCGGATCGAAGCGTCTCTGTCCATCTTTTTCTCAACCGCACAAAATTAGATGTGTATTTTAGAAACGAGAGTCTTGGCTGGAATCAAAACTTGCGCAGGCTTGATTAATGTGGAGGATCTTTAAAAATATAAACAAGACTGCCAACATAAAATATATTTTTTTACATGTATGGATAAATTGTTTATCGTATTCGAAATTTTGTTTATTATAAAATATCAGGTATTTATCTCAATATATTCACTATGAGCTGGAATAAACCTCAAGCCAGTGAATTAATAACTTTTATTTTTTCAAACAATTTATTCCATTAGGGTTATAATTAGTTTATGTATTGGGAACACTGAGAAAATTCAAATTAATACTTGTCAGTTGTCATTTGTCATGTGTCATCAGTATTTACCAGAACCAAATACGTTTGACCAGAATAGTTTTTGTTTTTTTGTGCAGTGTTTTTAAAGTGTTTGAAAAAATAACTCAGTAGTGATAATATTTCGCATTAACATCTTTTAATGATTTTATAAAAGTATATCAATTGTGTAACATATTATATACTTGTTTTACAAAATTACGACGCAATAAAAATCGCACTAATTAGTGAACTGCTTTGTGTGCTTTAAAAACATTCTTTTGTGATGGAGGAAGATCACGAAGAACTTTTGCAGTGTACTGATGACGAATCTTTATCTGAAACAGAAGAACAATGCTGTCCTATGCAAAAGTCTGAAGAGCATTATTTGCCACCCTTAACATTTTTTGTTCATACAAAATTGAAATTCTTCAGTTACCTTGTTTTGCTTATACTTTCAACATTTTGCCTTTTAATTGTTGTTCCTCTTTATACTAGTTCAATTAATGCGAAAGGAAATATTTATTCCATTCTTATAATAAATACCTTATATACTTGCTGTATACATTTAGTAATATTCGGAATTCTAAGTGTAATAAGTGAAAAGTATAAATATACTAAGTTTTTCAAAATTCCTATTAAATTTTGGGAGTTAATTAAACTTTCTGGAATTTATTTGCTTTGTGGATTAATATACTTTTATGCCACTGATAGAAATAAAGTTGTATGTCATTTACAAGATCCTCTGAAAGGCATTATTGTAGTATTTTCTCTGCTGTACTACTTTTTCTTTTGTAGAAATTGTAAGTCATATACCATGAGATATTTTAGATATAATTTTTTATTGTGCTTTTATTTTTCTGTAGTGATGGGCCTTCATAGAATATTTTCAACTACTGCAGTAATAGTTGGTCTATTTGTGGCAATTGATTATGGATTATGTGATGAATTTGTTTGCAGAGGGTATGATAGAAAACAAGCTTTTGATGATTCAGGTCCATGGTCTTGGAAAGTACACAGTATATGGACAGGAATATACATTTCTGGACTGACATCGTTTGCTGCATATTTTACATTGCTAGATAGACACGTTATGCCTGAAAATGATATGGTAAGAATGTAATAGGTATAGTAAATAAAAATAGGTGGATAATGTCCATTTTGAATACAAAAATTTTAACCTCAATTTAGATTTTTGGATCCAAAAACATAGGCGGGTAAATTAGGATTTGATAAGATTTTAAAAAATATATTAAAAATTATGTCAGTTTTTCCATCTGACTATTAAATAATTGTGAATACATTTAAGTAAATATATTTCTAATAATAATATAATAATAATTTATAATTTGTCTGAGGCCAAATTTATTAATAATAAGTTATTTTTTTATTGTAGATGTCTCATAATCTAATCTCAAATTGTTTTGTGAACACAATATCGAGATCAGTGACTACATCAACTTCAAATTTAGTTTCTGCAAAAACTGAAGAAATCCAAAGTAAAGTAAATGTTCAGTTACCTAAATGTAAATCCGCTTTGCAGTTGTCATTTTGGATACACATATTTGTTTTTGGTTTAATGTTGCTTACATTTTGGATTGATTTTATACCTGGTGTTGGAAAGGTAATTTTAAATAGTACAAATCAATAACATAATAATAGGTTTGTTCTATCATCAGTTGTATTCATTAATTTATGTAATTTTTTCAGCAAGCACTTAAAAGATGATTAAACCATTTTAAGTATTGTGTTAGAACAAACCTAGTATATGGGCCTGGGCCTGGACACTTTATCTCCGTTGTCTGTATTTTAATGCATGTGACAGAGAGAGAGATAAATATAAATGACTGTTGACAGACAGAGAGGTAAAATAAAAAGCGGCATACAGTGTTGCCGGTTTTTACGTGTGTAGGCAGGGATATGTGTGGATAGGTAATAAACTTCGCATTTTTTTTTTCGACTTACAAGATACACTGACCCAAGACCCTGCTCTTGTCAACCCGGTATAAGTATATTATTTTCTTAGCCTGAAATAAATTAGAAAAAAATAAACTATTATAAAAACTTTCATGTATACATAACAAAATAAAGTCCATCCCTAGATGCAACATTTTTCGTAAACGCGTACTTGCGCGGTTTGAAATTTTGATGCAAAATCTGGCAATACCACATAGAAGAAATGTATCAACCCAACTTTTATCTCTTTTTAATACATTTGATTTTTCATTACAGTGTCTACATCACTGTCTTATACGTTAAAATCCAGACCACGCTTTTAAGGTGGCCCCATCGATATAGTTTTTGTCCAGCCAAAGAATATAAGATAGTGACATTTGTTTATTACGTTATAGGGTAACACACCAGCTGAATCTTGGAATTATACATTGAATGGTCTCATGTGCCACGTTGCTAAGCCAAACACTGAAAATTGTGGTAATGTCTTTTGGTACATGATAGCATTTCAGATTGCCTATGCAATATTTGCTCTATCGTCCGTCAAATTTTTAATGCTGTCCCAATCAGCTGTTTTTACAGTTGCAGCTATGTCTTGTGCTTTGCCCTTGATTGGTATTTGGTGGTCGATGTTTTATGCCACGCCAAATGGTAAGTTAAACTAAAATCAGGTAATATGCCTGTTAGCACAATCACTTTCACAGACTTTTCAACAAAAAAATTAGAGAGTCCACCATTTGACATTTGCAAAATTAGGCTGTATTCCGTTGCAAAACCAGGCGAACCAGACCGGTAAACTACTGTAAAGAGCGGTTCCTGAAAAACATTGGTTTGATACGGAATCGTTTGGTAAAATACTGGAAACGTCAAATGTTGACTTTTTCTAAATTTCAATACCTCTATTATAAAATTTATCTTTTATGCATTTTTAATGTACCTATTCTCTGTTTTTACGTTTGCTTCGTCTTTTCAATGGAGTTTAATATTGAAAAGTACTTTATTAATAAACTGTTAAACTCGTTAGACAGCTCAAGTGAAGATTTGCTGGTCCAATATTAAAACAGATCAATAATAAATAAACAAATCTAATCAATATTTATATTTTTATAGCTAACAAAACATTTACGATTACTTATTGTCTTGTTTTTCATGTTTTCTTTAAATGTTCCTGACTATAAGAAACAATGGCTGCATGATAAGTTTAAATGGTCCTCAAAAGTCATTCTATTTAGTTAATGAAATTTATTTACCTTTACTGCCTACCTCCATTGCTTTTGGATGTCAATACAAAATATTATTACAAATTTTAGAAATTAAATGAGAATTTCACTCGAACTTCCAATATTTGCTTAATTTCTGTCAGATAAATGACATTGATTGACAAACAAAACTAGAAAAACCAGTCGCGCTGGTTAGTTTGGTGACAGTTATAATCGAATTTTTCAGGAACCGTGTTCCGTAATAAGAAAACTTTCAGGAAACCGATAGAAACGGAACATAAAACCATAACCAAGGTAAGCAACGGAATACACCCTAAGATAATTACCAATATTTACCTATTCGTCAAATTGTGTTGTAACCTCACAACAAGATCTAAGGTTGTAACCTAAGGTTGTAACAGGTTATTATAATTTCACTTGCGTCTAGCCGTACCGTGCAACTCTCCAACTCAAACCCACAGTTTCCACCATAGATTTAGTAAGAACAGATATCACATTTTGCATTTTAACCCGATCAAACATTCTGTGGTTGACTACGTACTGTAAAAACCAACAGAGATAGAGAAGGCGACATTGCCACATATCAAATTTGCGCCTATCTATTCAGTTTGATTTGCAAAAAAGGTGACTTTTAAACCTTCACCGGATATCAATTTCTTAATTAAATTAATAAAGTATATTTCCAAATAAGCATGCGTAATAAAATGTTATTAACCAAAGGGTATATATGCGTTACTATTAAAGGACATGTTTACTGTTTATTAATGTGCTGAAACGTCTAGAACTATTGGCAACGTCGCTGCTAGTCTTCCAGAATGAAATGAACCGTTCGTCCCACCACCCCTCGCGACGGCCCTTGGTTAGCTGTAGCGTACTACGTTTTGCTTACGGTGTGTTTGAAGTCGGAATTGGTTGAAATTCAGTCGAAAATAAACTTTTCAGTAGTTTTTGTTTTTGTTTAACGTACTTTTGAATCTGCTAATTTTCAGTATGGTACGACAGTGTCAAGTGTATGGAAAAATAAGCTCAAATTACCCGAATTTGTCGTTTCACAGATTCACATTTTATATTTCCGCCATAATTGTACATAGGCGTCCACAAGGGAGCCTTTCACAATTAAAATAATTTCTAATTATATTTGTATATTTAGTATATTATCTAACGTACCTATTCTATTACATTTTTAATAATATAAATCTTCGATTTTAAACTGAAGAAAAAATATTTTTTTTTACTAAAATAATAAGAAACAATATATTCCACTATTAAACATCCTTTCGAAAATAGCAACAAAAAATCTTTTCTATATATCTTTCTTTTTATATCTGTAATTTTTTACATAATCTACAATATATAAAATGCTAATGTTTATCTGTGTCGACTTTACTGAAGTAACGACTTGCTCTAGAAAGTTGCTTTTTTACTAAAAGATAACTAATTGGTTCTTCTAAAAACTGTCGTCGCCGGATTTTTTGTTTTTCATTTAATTAAAAAAAAGTATTTTTTTTCCTGATGTCGTGGCGGATGCGCCAGGCTTCAACTAGTATTTTATAAAAACGAATTAATATTCTCGAATGTCCGTTGTAGATATTCGCATTCGCGGATGTTTAAAATTGATATTCGTTATGCCGCGACCGCGCATGCGGCAATCGGCGATTTCCAAGCGCTCGTCATCGGACTTTCCGTCCACACATGCGGGCATCGCCGAGCTCTGATGGCAACAACATAGAGACGAGCGCTCGTTTTCGTAGGCGATCGAGTCGCCGAATTCCAACTTGCTCGTCCACACTGATCGGAGATCGGCGACGAGCGCTCGGAAATCGCCAAATGCCGCATATGCGGTCGTGGTATTATATACATAACTACCGTATGACGGAAAAAAAGTTGGCATCGATGACATTCCCCATTAAATTTTACATATAAAATGACAGTGATCTTCATTTAATAGTCATCACTAACGCCGTTTTTTTTTTGATTATATTGTATAACCACTACTAACTGATACTACTCACCGAGATACAATATGATCGAAAAAAGCGGCATCAACGATGTTTTCAAAATGTAGATCGCTGTCATTTTATATGCAAAATTATAAGAGGAATATCATCAATCGTCGTTTTCAAGCCAACTGGACGCTGTTTTTTTTTATAGAAGTAACTGAAAGTTAATTTGAAAATCGACGTCGGAGCGTATTTCGCAAAACTACTAACGTTTCAACATAAGTATATGTGGGATATTAATTATATTATTATATTAGACCTTATAACAAAACTCATCTGACGAAAAACTGTTAATGTAGTATATTAATATGGAGTAAAAATTGTTCTAATTACTTTACTAATTAAATTCGTTCCTAAAAACGATACGCCACTGGCCATTAGAACAATCCAAATTCGCCTAGTTAGCGAGGTCGGAAATTTTAGACTTCTCTGTCTCTTCTGTCCTTGTTTAACACATTGGAATGTTTGATACACTACCAACGAGTATTTATGAATGAGATGTTCGGTCTATCTTTATAATGTCTTTGGTTTCCACCAAACTTAAATCGTGGGTTATTTTCTTCGAGAGTAAGTTTTTAAGTAATAATAGCATAATTTACCCTAAATTTTAAAAACGTACAAATTATAATAATATATAACAGTTCTACAAAATCGATCGGGTATTTCATGTGCAATCTATTGTTACGTTTTTCGTCGGTTCCGTGTGGATAGAAAGTCACAATTTATTTAAACACTATTTATTTAACACTAATGAACAAAAATAATAACGATAAAAGACTTATAGAACTATTTACAAACGATTTATAACTAAGAATTTATTTTGAATTTTAGCGCGTCAACTGTATATTTATAACTCTCTTTTGACGTGTTTGACAGATAGACTACGTATTTAACTGCTCAACTTATGAAGTGGTCCTATAAACATGGTATACACTGCTCATAATTTGAAGTGGAATTAATTATAAAGTCTTATAAAGTAAACGCCACGAATGTTTGGGAGTGATTCATCGCTTGATGAAGTTAGAATCGACACGCGCGCTATTATTTTTACATTAAAAACGTAAATATTTACCGTAGACGTAGGTTTTTAAAGGCCCGGTCTAATCATCTGCCTGCGTTCCTCCTACTTATTCTAAATGTTAGCGTGATTGACCATGATTGATTGTAACCAAATATATGTTTTGACAAGACTTTGACAGTTAAAACAACAAATTACAACAGATTATTATATGACTTGAAACACCACGGCACTGGAATTAAGTTTTATGTGACCTTGAACAGATTAGTTCACATGGTAGCGACCGATGAATCACTCCTAAACATTCGTGGCGTTTACTATACATATTTTTTGTTTTGTTTTATGCTTATTTCTGAATTTGAATGTATAAAATATCTTACATCTAATAAATAATTAAAAAAACGATTCGTTGCCTGAGGTATACTTGAAATAAAGTATACAGAGATATTTGATAAATGACAACAGTGGCAACTTCGCTTCTTCATATGACAGATAACCTACTTATTTCGCGCAGCCGAAAAGAAAATTGAAAACGGGACTGTAGCTACTCGTCGGTTTACTTACTCTGGTTCACAGAACAGTTTAAAACAGAACGAAATCTTCCGTACAAACAATTAAGACAACATTTTGATACGCCATCTATGACACGGATTTAGAACTACAAATTAAATTTAAAAAAAGCAATCTGCAATTAAATTTTAAAAAGAAATCTGCATTGCATTCAAAGCAATTTTAGCAGCGCCATCTATAGTATTATATTACACCTAATTAATTTAATATACCGTATGTTCGAAAAATAACGATTCCAAGTTAACTTAAAAATGACGATCGATAACATTTTCTTTGTAAAGTTATATGGTTAATGTCATCAATAGTCATTTCTAAGTTAACTTGAAGCCGTATTCTTCGATCATACAATATAAAAAACTAAGATGATTTTATGCCAGATAATTTGTTTCAAGTAAAGTTAAATAAACATCTTATACAATATATTTTTTAAAAAATATGTTGTAAAAGATGTTTGATTTAATATACTTGCCAAACAAATATCTAGTCTATAATCGTTAAACAATACACATGCGGTAAAAATCACATTACAATATTTTCTATACCAAAATCAAAAAGTACTATTAGATTTAACTTAATAATAGGTGTATGATTAATAACACATGTGATTGATTATATACCAGATATTACAAGGTTTATAATAAAAATCATTTATTTTTTGTTATAAATTTTATTTATTTTTCTCTTTTTTTTGTAGATTTCGAAATTTTACAATACAAATGCGGCTCATTAAATTTATAGGCAACTAAAAATTAAACATTACAATTATTGCTCGGATAAAATATATATATACAACTATTTTTGTATTCTTTTTGTTTTCTAAATTTCTATACCTAGGTACATGGTAATACTAAAGTAATACCGTATGCTCGAAAAAACGAAGTCAAGTTGGCTTGGAAATAACGCGGTCGATGACATTCCTCATATAATTTTACATATAGAGAGAGAATGACAGCGATATTCATTTCATAGCCAACGGTGACGCCGTTTTTTTTTGATCATATTGTACCATACGATTACGAAAAGCTGCATCAAGTTACCTTAGGAATGACATTTGATGGCATTTAAAATGTAAATTATATTAGTAAATCTAACCAATTAATGAATATCAATCTTCCTTATCATCGATAGCCATTTCCAAGGTACAATTAACCTAACCTAACCTAGCTTTTATCGAGCAGGTTATATTATTATAAACTAATTTCTAGGTACTTACATATAAAGAATAATTCACTCTAAATGGATACACAAAATAAAAAGTTTTTAATTTAAAATAATACACTATAAAAGGGCCGGGCACACAACATAAAACGTCTTTACTTTGGGAATGAACACTACGACACTCACAGCCACAAAACACATACCTCTCAGCTCCAGACAAAGTTAGGTACTGATGGCTGCCGGGAAAAATGACGAAATATTATGATGAGACGGGTGACGGGAAGAAACTTTTCCTTCCCTCTTACTCCGCCCACGTATTTTTAAATCGACAGTGGCACCCTCTGACAGCAGGATTTGGCAATTCTTGTTCCAAATCCTGCCATTTAAGTTTTTGCACCGTGCTCTGGTTCTACCTCTGCCGGGGAAGCGGCAACCGCAACCACGGAGCTACATGCTACTTTCGAAACCAGACATATTGAAACATTACTTTTTTCTGCCGTTCCAATACGTATGCGCCGGTACTGTGGGTTGAGGTTGAAGAGTTGCACGGTACGGCTACCTCTTCTCTTTTTTTAAAATATCCAATTTTATTTGTCATATAAAAAAATTACTTTGTTTCTGTTTTATTCTATAATGCTATCACGTCAGATTAGTTTAAATTAGGGGTTTATTAAAAGATTACGTTATTCCTCACTTCAACACACAAAAAGTGTCTTTCAAGGGCGTTCAATTTAGTATTTACCAGTGTTGTCAAGAGGGAAAGTCAATTCAGGACAGTGATGGGTAAATATGTAACGGGTAGGTATATAAAAGGTGGTATAAAACCAGAAGATCTTGTAGTTATATACCTGGTATATTCCTGGTATTATACCGTGTATTTACTATGGCGGTCGTCTGGTAATTTCCTTATAAAATTAGGGTATTCACCCAAATTGCACCGTCGTGCGTCACCGGCGCCGGCGTTGTGCTGACACAATTTATTCTCTATTGTGCACTGTTTGACTAACTTGTAGTTTTCTTTTATTCTTAGATGTTTCTTTAATGTCGTATTTAACAACCAATTATTGCTAAAATTTGTAGTACCTTATATTAACAAAGTAAATACCGGGTGCGTCTCAAAAGTGGCTCACCCCTATAACTTTTTTATTTTTTTCTAGATAAAAAACGAGATTTGGTATGTTAGTATATGACATAAATTAGGATCGATTGACGGATTCAATTATTTTATTATTTTCTGTCGTTTCCTGTTTCACCGGAAATTATTACAACTTTTGATTTTTAAATGGCGCCCTTGGTATTTTTTTACTTTATTCAATAGAATATGACACTCGGAATATAATGACATATCTTACGTCAACTTTTGACATTTTCGTTTAAACAAATTATTTCTTTTTAAATTTATATTCGTATTTTAAATTTCAATCTAGAGCAAAGTTATGTTGACACGGGTAGTGAAGCTCGATCGTGGCCCACACTTTCGTGAACCACGCCTCATGTCAACAGTAGATTCGTGAAAGAAGAATAGAAACGAATCAGTACAAAAGACGCCACGATCGTGAATAAGCAAATCAAACGTGTTAGATATTTCACGAACCAAATCGATAGTGAATAAGAAGTCGCAGAGGAAGTTGAGGTAAAAAAGGCATATTTTGCATTATTCTCGCATTAGAAAGTATTGATTGACTTCCGATTATAATCTTTGTTGCAAAAAAAGTTGTTTAATTGTTACCGAGATTGTTACATTTTTTTAAATATATTTTAGTATATGATTATAAAAATTAACTTCATATGCATAACAAAACCATAATTAAAATAATGCCGTGTAAACAGCCTACAATCGCTGGACGATTTTCGTTTTTCACGTATGGCTTTTTGATACTTTCGTAGCTCACGAAAGTGTGAGACACGATCGTGCTTCACTACCCGTGTCAACCTAGTTTCATGGTTGTGTTAAAAACACTAATTTTTAATCAAAGAGTTTTGGAAAAATAGCCCAAAGAAATTTGCCCATCACTGACTCAGGATAATTATTGATAACCACGAAACCAAGGGTATAAAGACGGTATTTACTAATCCGGTCGCTTAAATACCCTTTACATTTGAATTAAAATTACAGACAACTGTCAAGTTAGTCAATGTTATTAATGCTTTTGCCAGATACAATACATTTATGCTGGATTTATGGAAATTATTTATTTCAAAGACAATTTTTTTAGGTATTTTGGTGTGGTCTCCGAAAATAAGAGGTGAATTTGTATGTTCCATCATTGGGATACCAATAGTAAGTATCGGATTGGGATTACTATGTAAGGCGCATTTTGAAGATTATCGCAGGTTTATAACAGGTCGTATGACAACTAGAAGTCAGTTGCCATAAATTATTTTTCTAATTTTGCATTTCCGAGATTCTGTTCATATATCTTCACCTATTATATAGAGAAATTATTAATTTAAAATATCTAGTTAATTATTTTTAAAATATCTAGTTAATTTATTAAGGTGATAAGTGTAACAAAAAAATAGGTTTCAATGACCCTAAGATGCTCGAAAAAACTGATTGCTGAGAAGTAATTTTAATGTTATTCAGAGGCTATATTCAAACTCATTTCGACGGTATATTTTTAGCCGATTTGTATTTCTTATATTTTTGTTTATTGAAAAGCTGATGACTGGTTGATTGCTGAAAGCCTTTACTGGAATAAGCTGGCCATGTTTTTTTTTAAAGGAGAATTACAGCTTTCAAGCAGTGGCAGTTTACTTCAGGGTGTGGCAATTTACTTCACGTTTTTTGGTTTTGTATGTACTGAAAAATGGAAACCAAAGTACTCATTTTGATACAACCCAATATTATCTTCTTCTGTATTCCAAAAAAAAAGATTATACCAATTTCGACGTACAAGATCGATCTGAATGAGTTTGAATATAGAATAAAACCTCTTAATATTTAAGCCTATGTGAAATTACTTCTTTATAATAGACGGAGAGCTGGCTACATAAAAAACCTTATCATCGTTACATGGCTAATTTTTTGTGTGCCAGTGCGATCCCAGGGCTTAAAGCGGGGGCGGCCAATCGAAAGGGTGAAATTTTGACACTAAAAATATTATAAGGTACACGTGTTATAATTGCGAAAATAGCTTTTATTTATTATTAAGAAACGTGTAAAACTGTTGACAGACATTTTTCTCGTAGCTAAAATGACGGCAGACAACCCGAAAGAGTCATGGAATTTGACAAAAAAAACCATCGCATACATGCATGTCAATTGGTGGAATGTCATGTTTATTTATTTAAAAAGCCGTATGCAAAAGGACAAACAAAAAAATTGTGGCTCAATCAGCGGTAGCCACATGGTAGACAGTCATGATACCAAGAATACAAGGTATGATATTGCGCAGGTCGGTCACTACGTCACAGGTGATAAACGGCACCATTGGGTGGCAAGCTCCGCGCGCCCGTTTCAAATTGTCAAACAGATGACACAATAAATGTTAAAATAATTTTTCAAATGTCAAGCTAGATGATTTGACATAACTTTTGGGGTTATGTCCTAATTCTTCCCTATTTTAGGTCTTTTTTTATTAGGGGCAATTGAACAATATGGATATTTTTTTGTATGACGTCACAGGTGGTATGCGCAAACTTAACGAAATTGGAGCCGCTATCGATCATACCTTGTTTTCTTTGTATCATGGTAGACAGTTATAAAAAACGCGATTATTACTCTACAGGGTGAATCTTGAATAAGTGCAAATATTTTCAGAGCTGGTAGATCTCGATAAAAGAAACTTATTTTCTCTTTACCGTTTTTCAAATAATTCCAAAATAACCGAGTTATTCAAGTTTGAAAATTTAAAAAGAAATTGATTTATTTTTAAATAATTGTGTGAGAACTGTTTTTTTTTCTGTACTTGCATACATTATAGCGTCGTAGCCATAGAATAAAGCCGTAAGCATGATAGGTTAAGAAATAATTATACCGTTGGTAAATTTGCGGGAACAGGCAGTTCTAAAAGGTTTTCTCATATATTAAAAAATAATGCATGATTTTCTACATCTTTTTTTGCGAAAAAAACTCATAGACGTGTTCCAGGGGTCGAAATATATCACCCTTAAAAGAATTTTCGCTTATTTAAGACTCACCCTGTATAAGCGTTTTCAGGAAACGCTGGCCGCGTTATCAATTGAAGCCCCGGGATCGCGCTGGCAGACATGACTATTTCATAATGGCTACACAAAAGGATAGGTACTTCACACAAAAAATTAGCCATGTAACGACGATAAGGTTTTTTATGTAGCCAGCTCTTAGACTATAACCTGACTAGTCTTAACTTTTAACAGCGAATACGTAATTTTTATTTTTTTTTACTTTGTGCCATACAACTATAGCGTTAAAAGACAAGGTAAATTATAATTATAAATTTTTAAAGTCATGTTAATTTACAACTTCACATTGTACGTGACATTTGTTTTGGTATATTCCAACTGAGTTATTTAGGTGAAGATAATTTAAAGTGATCTAACTTGATGTTATTACTTTTAATATTGTAGTACTTATTATCTTAAAGTACTTAACATAATAGTTGTATTATTACTATAAATTATGCAAAATTGGTGTTGAATTTGAAGTTAATTTTGTTTTAGTGTAGTCAATTAAAATTAAAATTTGTTATTCTATCCAGTATTTACAGGTTATATTTATCAAGATTTAGAGTTTTTATAATAAATACTTACCAAAATATCTAATAGCAATGTCAATTTAAGTAAATATATTTTATCTTGTATATTAATTTCCATTGCTCGTTTTGCTGGTTTCTTAACATTTAATAACATCAAGAAAACATATTTATAAGACTATTGAAAATTATAATTAATGGTAATTATCTAGTATAGAAACTATACTAAGGGCTGGCAAAAGTTAGTCTTGGGTCGAGATTTCCGTATGTAAGAAGAGTACAATGCGTTTATAATGTACTGAACAAAGAGAGAACAGTAAACACGTTGCCAAACGTACGAACTAAACCGAGAAACTGCGCATAATGCTAAGAGACGTGGAAGGGGATATAGCAGATTTGTCGCAGTCCACCGGTCGACCCAATCAGTACCTCTGTCAGTACTTAAAGTTCTAGGGAAAGGTGTACATCATGCGTTCAGCTTCACGATTTAATTACGTCTCGCTATACTTTATTTGTTTATTTATTAACGAGTCGTTGTAATTTTCCCTACATCTTGAATATTTAATTTCTAAGTGCAAGTTAGAAACACTTGCATTTTTGGTAAAAATAAATGGAATTGAATTAGTGTTCTACAGTGGTCGCGCTATTAGAACTCTGAATTCAAGATGAGTGGATATCTCAAAATCTATTAAAAATAATTGATTGTAGTTTTTTCAAAAACTTTCTTAACACTCCTGCTATATTTTCTTCGCAGACAGTATGTGAAATTCTTTATAAATAAAAAAGTTACACGATTGCTGAAAATTGCTATGCACCAAAAGTAAATGGATGGGTTATTTAAAATTTTTGAATGGAAAAAAACAACCTTATCGAATTTTTCTTATTTAAATATATTGTAAAAGATCCGATCTACAAAATAAAAAAAAGTTTCAGTATCTAAAGTGGTTCTGGAATTTGTGTTGTGATAAAAAAAACGGACACCCTAACGATATCCTTATAATTCCATTTCAGATGCTCAGAAACATATCTAATGATTTTATCTAGTTATCTTTTCGAAAAAAAGTCGTTTAAAAATAGCGGTTTGCGATGTGATTTTACTCTACCTGATAGGGAAAGGCGTACCGGCAACGCCGTAACAGCACACCGTCGCATTTCTCTCACTCCGACTTAATAAGATCCCTATGCGATTTACTTCTACACATGTAAGTACCGACCCAAAAGTAACAGTTGCCAGCACGGTATAGGATAATTATATAACAGATAATAGTATATTTTACTATGGATGAACCATTTTACGTCAGTTGGTCTTCAAAATTGAGCTGTTGGTGAAATAAAATGCTGTTCTTCACATTTCCTTGATATTTAGGAATAAATGTGTGTTATCTTGGTTTTACACATGGAAACAGTAATTATACAACATAAAAATGCTTTTTGTTTTGGTTTGGTCCATCTGTGGATAGAGTAATTACCTTTAACCGCTAATGTGCGGTCTAGCACACCGCTATGCTATTTTTATGTGTAAGACAGTATTTAAACAAAAACAACGTCTTTTATCAAGAGCATTTATTCACAAAATTATTTAAAGAATAAGAAAAAAAATATGTGTGCACTATGTGCGCATATTTGAAGTGAAACTTCTTACTAACAGCTATAACAGTTCAAAATACGAAAATAGAATATATTAGAGGTATATTCTAAAAATTCTTATATGTATTTAAATTAAGAAGGCATGTTACAATAATATCGTTGACTGAAGAAATAAGAAGATGCACAACCTTATGGGCGATTTCGTGGCACAAAATATATCGGAGATGTAGCTGGCGTTATCGTCAGCGTGTCCGAGATTTAGCTTTGCTCTGCGCCGCTGCGCGCTGATTGTCGTTTACAGCGCAGCGGATAAAGAATACTGTACCGTAGTTCTGCTTTCAGTTGACTGAGTGGGTGGTTGCTGGAGACAGTGTTGCCAGAACTACGGATTAATCCGTAGATTTACGGATTTTGGTTACGGTATGTTAATAATACGGATTTTGCGAGATCGCCTTCAGTTCCACACCGTTTTCGATATGCCTTCGCTAGCCGAATTGAAAATAAGTGTATTATGCGGTGGCCGCAGAACGAGTTGGAGCTCCACCGTACAGCACTTGAGACGTAAGAGGTTAAGAATTCGCCCATTAGGTTGCGTATCTTCCCAATTGTTTCAATCAACGATAATATGTTATTTAAAATGAGTATTTTCCTCCCAATTTGGTCTTCTAAAAAAAGAAAAAACTGTTGCCAAAGATTACAAATATGTGATATATATACGAAAAAGTACTTGTCATTAGTATCTTAGAAATTAACTTTGTTCCAAAACGAGACTGATTTTTTTCTATAAATTTCCGATTGTATTGATTCACTACGTCTGCGAATATTGACCTTTTGTTTCATTTAAAGAAAATTACACAATTCAGCCACTCCCATTGGCGTACGCGTGCGAGGTAACAGCAGAAGTTGATTTATAGAACCTTCTCTCATGTGGGTAATGTCTATAATTTTGTGGCAAGTTGATTATTGCAGGGTCTGGATATATCATCACAAATAGACTTACATATATGGGAAAAAGAGTTAAAACGTTCCTTTAAATAAATTTCTATATTTTAAAGTTTCCTTCTTTTTTTTACCTTAGACGAAGGGGAAAATAAATACACTCCTTGAAACATCAAGTGATTTTTTTTTGGTTGAACAACTTTGTATAAAAGTGTAGACATTTTACAAAAAATAAATAGGTATGGCAGT